TATTAAAAACAATGTAGCAAAATGTGCTACAAAATGGACATATACTGTAGCAATAATAAAATTACATCTTGCTAAATGATAGAGCACTTAATGTGCAAAAATACAACATAAAATCACATATAATACCCAAAATTAGGAATTCATATTAGGTAGCGGCTCTTACTTATGCACACTGTCCCTACAGGGAAAAAGGTGCTTCTAATGTCTCTACAGTACATGTCCAGTTTGTAGCACTTAAACACATTTTGCTACATTTCTTCTAATTTCCCCATCACTAACTAACTATACAACATTTGGACTTTTTTTATGTGCACTTGTGAATATTGGATGGACTTTATTTTAACTTTTTTTGTTTTAGTATTTGTCTTTCATTGCTTTGTGTATATACTATCTCAACGCCTTGTCTTTTTTTTTTTCTTATCAGTTTTACTATTGCTGTTATTTTTATTCTATTAGGTGGTTTTTACGGTGACTCCTTGACTAGTTTTAGAGCGATATTTAGTAGATAGACCCAATTTCTCAGTTTTTTAGCCAGGATTTGTTGCGATTTCCCTGCTTCCAAAGTGGTTTTCCAAATAAGCTATCACTATTCTATTTATCTATCCTTGTCAATTCATGTCAAGTACTTAAGTAGTTGAATACACCATAGCAGTCTAGATGGTGGCTGTTCTAGTATTATTCAAAAGAAAAATCCAGATCCAAGGTTATCAAGCATATGAAGAGTTTATCCAGGTTAATACATCAAGGATAAGAACATTGAGCTGACAGAAATAAATCCAGTTCAATAAGCATAGATTATGGGTATTAAGTAACTGAAGAATTTATGGAATTGTAACACAATTTCAATATCAAGGAATTTATTCCATCAAGGTGTGGACCCTGCAAAATTTTGACCCTCTAAATATGTCTTTGTCAAAGCCTTTGTGGAATAAAGTCCAGAATTATATATTGCTAGTGGTGCAATTCAAATATTTTTTGGTTGCTCAATAACCATGATCTAGGCTCGCTAAACTGGTTTACACCATGTCTGTTCAATAGACTTGTGCAGTTGGTTTTAAATTAATTACAAGTCATCAGACTCTTCGAATTCCAAATATGACAGAATCACAAAACAAATGATAAGGACAATGAATTAGCCATTGTGTTTGCTTCGTGATGGGTGGTAAGAGGACTGCCACTAAATGTTCACAGATCAAGTGAGACGTGACAAACAGAGGGGGAAAAAAAGCTGCGGGATATATATAAGCTAAAAAGCCACAATATTAAAACCACTGACAGGTGAAGTGAATAACATTGATTATACATGCCTAAGGATAGGTTATTTTTGGCAGCAAGTGAACAGTCAGTTCTTGAATTTCATGTGTTGGAAGCAGGAAAAGTGGGCAATGAAAAGATCTGAGTGACTTTGACAAGGGCCAGATTGTGATGGCTTGACAACTTGGTCAGAGCACCTCCAAAACGGTAAGTCTTGTGGGGTGTTCCCTGTATGCAGTGGTTGGTACCTACCAAAAGTCATAAATGTTTTGCTTGGAAATTTTTGAGTCCTGGCATTCATGTGGATGTTACGTTGACGCATGCCACCTACCTAGAGATTGCTGCAGACCACATACACCCCTAATGGCAACGGTGTTAAATGATGACAGTGGCCTCTTTCAGCAGGATAATGCACCCTGACACACTGCAAAAATTGCTCAAGAATGGTTTGAGGAACATGACAAAGAGTTGCCTTGGGCTCTAAATTCCCCAGATCTCAATCTGATTAAGAATCTGTGGGATGTGCTGGAATTACAAATCTGATCCATGGAGGCTCCACCTCACATCTTTCAGGACTTAAAGGATCTGCTGCTAATGTCTTGGAGCCAGATACCACAGAACCCATTCACAGGTCCTCGACACATCAAATCTGTTTTGGCAGCACGATATTAGGCACGTTGTTTTAATGTTGTGGCTGATCAGAGTATATGTAACGCATATATAAAATTATTAATAAATAATATATAGATTTCCTTCACTGTTCCTCCTTTTTTCTCCTCTATTGCTTACTTTTTCATACTTGATGTTTGAAACAATTAATGCACACAATTTTCACGCCATTTTGATTCGTCGTTTTTATAAAACAATAGCATGGAGGAAACTTGTATGAACTGAAACACATGGGAAAAATCCCAAATCAACCAAAAAGATCTTTTTTTTCCATGAATCGATTTGGACAAACCAATTTATTTTGTTTTTTGCCTTGCGTAAGACTACTGTTCAAAGTCATTGTCCTACAATATAAATACATGACTTAATTACTTCTTTGGTTTCTATTTAAGGGCTCAAAGGAACCTTTGAATTCACCACCCATCTTATCCCAGCAGAGCCCAAATCCTCCTCATTACTTTCACTATGGATATCGAGAAGACAAACATCCAGGCACAATCCAGTGACATTTTTAGGGACATCAGACATAGGTATTGAGGCCACCATCTTTATTCAGACCCCACTGGCTATAAGGATAGATACGCTTTACCCCACTCACAAAATTCAATACAAAGTAACAAAAACCGGCATCACACACAAAGATAAAATTGCAACTATTCTAGAGAAAACTAAATGCAGACCGAAAAATTATTTATACGCACACAAGCAACATTTAAACCTGTGTGCTCAAACCACGTACACACAATCCACTTATTCCGCATTTCCTTTTCACACCTGTCAGTAAGGGGTTTACAGACCACATTACACATTACTAGCGTTCCACTTTGCATTCTGGGAAAGCTGTCTCCTGGGAACTGCGTGAAAAGCAGACACGACCTTGGCATGACATCTTTCAACCTTTAAATATGATACGTGGGATACAGGCAAGTCGGAATGCAGCATTTTTAAGGCGAAATGTGACGGAAATGTTCAAGAGTTGAGATCTGTACACGATATGTTTTTATATAATAATGCAAGATTAAAAATCCTGCACGGAGCTATATAAAGCTAGAATATAATGCATTTGTCACTCTTTAAAACAAAGATAAGCCTTTTATTCATTCAAAAGCCCAAGAGATTAATTAAACCTTTCAGTGCCAGATGTGACTGCATCCAATTTAATGATTGCATTGTGCATTTCTATTTCTCTGTAAGTAAAGAAGTTAATTCTGATTTGGGCATAAAATAAGTGATTTTAACGTGTTGGGGCAGTGGAACCTCTTAATATCTCAGTAAACAATAAAGCATATTGTCAGGGCTTGCTCAACACATTCTACTATCTGGATCTAAGTATAAAATGCTGTCCCCACCTCGAGACTAGGGTGGGTGGCAAACGTACTTGCTCAGAAAGAGAGTGGACCCACCCAAGGAAAGGGCACGTCAAGTCAATCAAGTTGGCTGGCCCAGTATGTGCTTGGTCCCAGTGTGGCAAGAATTAATCTAATGATGAGGTTACGCTACGTTGTCTGAGGACAGTTTCCTGGTGTCCACAAAAGTGGGACAACGGGTAACAAATCCGGGATGACATAACAGAAGCCCAAAATAGGAACTCTCCCACTCGATTCAGCACATTTGGGATACCTGACATATTCAAATTTCTCACATATAACTAATTCACCAATCACATATATACATACAACATTTATCACAAACATTTATCTAATCACAGATGCACCCACTTAACAACACACATACAAACACAGGCACTAACTCGTGCATGCATTCAAACACAGACACTCTTTTTGTAGCTAGATCCATACTTACTACCTTACTATATTGCTCCATGGGCAATCCCAAAAACCATATGGGCTGGCAGAGCATAAAAAGTGGGGGGTTTTATTTAACCCAAATGGCATTTGGAGTTATAAAGCATCCATCTGTATTTTTTATTTTTTTTGCAGACAAATAAAAAATGTATAAAGATGAAACTTTTTTGCCAAAGAAAATAAATATTTTTAAGATATATTCTAGATGCTTAGCATTCACTGACAGCCTTCTCCTTCAAATGCCCAGAAGCTCCACTGTCTAAATTGCAAATACATGCAGACAGAGAAGGTCCATTGGAATACTGAGACGTTGACACGTATTCATTGTCTGCACAGAATGCTGTTAACTGTGTAAGCTGACTATTTAAATAAAGCACTGACACAACTGGACATGATTACCGAAGATTGCTTTCTCTATACATATATATGTACACGTAAGCAATTTATTCATGGTGCGTTATACTTTAACTTGTGCTGATAAGATACAAGTGCCCACTTACCACACTATTTTCTTTAACGCTGTTAAGGACACATGACATGTGTGACATGTCATGATTCCCTTTTATTCCAGAAGTTTGGTCCTTAAGGGGTTAAATCATTACAGGCATTCTGCATGGACCCTTTTTTCTCTCCTAACCATTTCATCTATGCAATGTACTTTTTCGAACAGCTAGATTATACAGTTATATGAATTTGCAGATATTACAAAAAATGCCCATGACCATTTTTAGTGTCTCGAGGTCGCATATGAAAGTTCTACGTATGCCCGTCTCACATTCTCTGTAGTCTTTCTACTTATGCTTAGCTCTTGGTACAAATTAAAGAGAGTGCTAAAGGACTTATAAGTATGTATGGATCTTCAAAATAGACTGCATGTAGCCAGACACCCAGGTAACAAGACAAATGGGGTATCATACTCTCTTATTTTAAAATGATCTACTAATCTATAAATATGTTAGCTATCAAGTATATAAATAATGTAAGCAGACTATAATTGGATTTAGTCATGCTATGTGCCTTTAAATATGTATCTTCTTTCAAGGCTAAGTGAAAAACGTTACTAACACATATGATGTAATAGTCAAGTTATGCACAATAGAGTGTCTTTGATGATCTGAAATGTTATCTCTTGTTCTGATTAGAAACTGTTTAAATCCCTGGTGTCCACACTGCTCTCTGCCATCTATGCACTCCAGTGCTCTTTCTGCTCAACATTTGAGATAGGTTGCAAACATGTTTAAAGCAGAGATAGACATTCAACTTCGCAGAGGGTTACAAGGAATTCTCAAAGGTTCCATCAGCAAGCAAGGCAACTAGGTCAACCGTGGACTTGAACAACTGACTGACCATCGTAGCCACTAGAAAAGACATGTATTAGAAAACAAATACTACATCAGTTGTCTACTACATATCTACAGACCTAAGGTCATGGGTTCTAATGGTGTTCCTCCATCATATGATGTGAGTGACATTTATCATAGCATTAAAAAGACAGGCTTGAAAATAAGATGTTTAGACATGTCCTACCCTCCTTCCTGTAGTACAGAATCTCCAGCTTGCGTTCATCGGCCCCCAGCAGGGCCTGTGTAAGTTGGGTGATGCTGCTGTGCGTGGTTTCCGGCCCGGTGAGGAAGTCACAGGTGCATGATCTTTGCATAACTTCGACTCTGGAGTACCCGAACATGTCACAGAATCCATCATTGCAATAGATTATGGCGCAATTGTCCATCTGAGCATTTGCAATCAGGAACTTGCGGCCTAGAAGGAAAAGAAGATAATCATTCATAGTGGGGGAGTTTTCTCTTAATATCAAGTAAACCATTATGGAGTACTTCTCTGGGTCAAAGCGCTAAATAAGGAGCAATTGCAATCGCGGAAACAGCAGACACATTGCATTGTTGATTATTATTAAACGTTTACAAGTATGCATCACTTTTCCAATTAAAACACTTTGATAAGTCCCATACACAATGTTTAGTGAATAGATTCCTCACACACACGCAGTCACGGTTATTTCGTAAAGTGAAAATTCTAAATGAATTTAAAATTTAAGACCAGCTATTTTGACCTTAAAGTTCAAATTAACTTTGAATTCTCAATTAAGTCAATATGCCTGACGGCCTTTACATGGCTAACTACATAGGCTCATAAAACATTTTAGTAACAGTAATAGCCAAACAGACCATCAATTGTATCTATTAGAAAATAATATTGAAATTTATAGAGTTATATAAACTGGTAAAATTTCTATTTAAACTATTATTGCTATCCATCACCTGTATAACAATATTTGTTTTTGTATTTGCACTGTAGTAAGTTGCATTGTGTTTGGCCTCACCACAATCTTTTTGGTAACTGGCTAAATTTTCTATGGCAGAAATAAAAGCACTTGGTTATATATGGCTCCAGAGCATGTAAGAATGAATCGAACAAAACCACGAATTGTGGGTAACTGGCAACATTCCATTTTAGACTACTCTTCAAATCAGGGATACGCCACCTCCAGCATTTCACATGTTGTAGGGATAATTGAGGGCAATATATTTTAAATTATATATTGTGAAACATTTGAACCATTAATAATTGTATTAATATTAAAAATATTATCAATTGTTATTAATATGAATATTGATATGATGATATTATTATAGGAACACACCCACAAATTTCTTTTAAAGAGACACTTACTATTTTATCTCTGATCCTATATTCTTGTAGTTCACTTTAATTGTATAACTCAATACGATATAACACATAGTAACTATATTACCCATTGTAAAGCGCTGTGGAATTTGATGGCGCTATATAAATACCATAATAATAATAATAATATTACTTGAGAATATAATTGTGACCACCACAATCTATACGATAGCAACATAATCAGTGATCATACTATATGTAAAAAAGAAAATGGCTTCAAACATGTCAGAATTTAATTTCCATGGTAGACAAGGAAATCTTGCTAATGAGCAATTCAATTACTGGCTCATAGAATTTATCACCAACGAATGTCAGCATACTATATTGCATTAACAAGTAATATTCTTCACCTTAATAGACAGGGGATCATATTACAATGTCTCCTGCAATAAAGAAACTTAAACCGCATGTATTTCTAGACTTTTAAAGAAAGAACATAATCCACATTTACTGCTTCTACGAAATATCAATTACTCGTTTAGACAACCTCTAATAACCAACTATTTCCACAAATGGTTGCAAACCAAATCATCTTTTTCCAATCCACTCAGCATCTAAACTCTCTCAGCTTGGAATTGCAAACTGATATTATGCAAATGCATTAAATAGAAACAGTAATAACAATAACTATATCTCGATATATTGGTATGCAATAAGATTATGCAGAACAAACCAATAAAAAAAATAATATGAGCATGTATTTTAAAAAAAACAAAAAACTTGAAAATGTTGAAGTAACTCTGTATCTACACTAAACAAAATGTCTGACAATGTGGAGCCAATAATGAAAAAACAAACAAAAAAAACTTTAACTTAATCCTAGGTTTAACTCGTCTTAAAAATTAAAGACCTCGTACCCCAATATTAAATGTAACCCCACTCTAACCTTAAACTCAATAATCGCAAACACCCCTTTTACCACAACTCAAGCTTTTAA